CCTCCACAGCAGCAAGAGCAGCAGCAGCAAGACGATGAAGTCGTTGCACCTTTGCTCCATTCATCCCCACCTGAGTCGCCTTCAGGGCCGGAGCAGTTTGGCTCCCCACTGTTTCCGGTTAGCAGGCCACTGTCTTCAGCGCAAGTGCGAACGCCACCATGGCTCGATGCAGCAGGACGAATGGTGAACCTCGGCTATCAGCGAGATGCTAATGAAGCTTTTGCCTTTGGTGCAGGGCAAGGAGTCCCGATGGAGGTGCAGCATGTGCAGCGAGAGGCGCTCTGGATGCATTCACATGAGTGGCAGGTGCCATGGTTGCTTCCGCGCCAGCCGCAGGAGCAGCTTCAGCAGCAGCATGATCAGCCCGAGTTGTATGACCCACAGCAGCAGCTCCTGTTTCCGCAGTTTGGTTATTGGCAACAGCAACACCAACGGCAGTTTTTGCGTGAGCAGCTGGACCAGCAGCAGTCATTGCTTCTACAGCAGGAACCGCAGCGTGTAGTACTCGATCAGGAGCGCCAGCAGGCATTGCACCAATACGACCAACAGCAACCGTTGCAAACACAGGCCAGGCTCAAACGGAAGCGCAAAGAAGCGGGCGAGAAGCAGCACGCAGACCCGCGGCTAGGACAGGAGGAGCAGCAACAGCAGTTGCAACTTTCCGACCCGCTCTCGGACCAGTGGCTGGCAGAAGAATGGATTGAACCGGAGTCTTCAGTGTCTGAGATGCCTCAGCCAAGTATCCCTCAACAGGGGTCGCAGTATTTTGCTCCTGCACCAGAACCNCAGTGTCTGAGATGCCTCAGCCAAGTATCCCTCAACAGGGGTCGCAGTATTTTGCTCCTGCACCAGAACCAGGTCCATCGAGGTCTGATCAATTCAGCATCCGTAGGATTTTGGGATTATCTGCAGCCCCTCCTGCCGCATCTGATGACGTGCCTGCTGCAGCGGCTTCAAGGAGAGAAGCTGCAGAAACTCCCGCTGCAGAGGTTGCAGCAGCGGGCGCAGCAGCCGCTTCGCCTAGAATTGGTCCGTCCTCTCCGGCACGAATGGCAGCTGAAGGAGGGGCCATCAGCGTGGAAACACCGACCCTGAGTAGTTTACTGACTCGCGCCACTATTCTAGGTGCACGAGCAGTAACGTCTGGAACAGGAATTGATGATTCCTCCGCGTCCAAATCCCCATCGCGTATGTCAGTCAATGAACTGCTAGGTATGCCGGATTGTACTGCTCAAGCGATGAGAGAACACCCCTTTGCGAGGTTGCCAATACTGAAAAGGGAAGGAACTGCACGTGGCCTTAATGTTGACTTGAGGCGATCCGTGGCCAGCCAATACGGCCTAAGGAACGCAGTCCCGCTGTTGCAGGAGGCTCATGAGCTGCTTTCTCGGGAAGTTTTGTATCCTCCCGAAATGAGGGAGTTGGCGCAAGCAGTAGGATTGCTAATAGCCCACTCGATGCACCATGAATCGCGGGATGTTTCAGGTCTGAAACCTAGTCACGCAGTTCAGTACCTGGGGATCCGTTTCCTCGTGCTTGATGTTGTGGTCTCCGCCTTCTTGGTTCTCGAGCAGGAATTGGAACCTGCCTATTGGGATCTCTTTGCAGATGCTGTTAGCCACTCTACCCCTCCGCCGCCCAACCGGAAATCCGTAGCAGGGAGACGGGATGTCTCCACACGTCGGGTTCTGGCGCTCAGCAGGGCAATACAAACACTCAAGAAGGGAAAGAGGCCGGAACCCAGAGAGTTAATTCAGCTCAAGCGGATGCTCTTCTGTTGGAAGTCTTCTCCTCGGTATTTTAAAAGCAAGGCGTTCGATCCCTGGAGACACGATGACGGCTGTGACGGAGATGAGATTGGGGATTAGCCGCTCTAACCTTCGACAGGGACTTTGTCTGCATTTTGGTGGAAAAGGAATGTTGAGGAAGAACAGAGAAGGTTCTTTTTTTTAGCAAGGCAAACGATTTGCGCTATTCTGGCATATCTGCATCAGCTGCTTTTAGAGCAACAGCACCTGATTCTCAACGAGCAGACAGATACAATTATTCACAATTTGGGCCGCAAGCAACTACAATAAGTACTAATTATAAGAGATCCCTTTCCCAGTTTGCGTGCTTTGGCTGGAATATGAAGGAAGCGAAGACGATACAAACAACTGAGGCGAAGTAAACGAAACTTTATGCAATACGAGAGACAACAAAACTGTGATTACCTTTATTTCACCGCAGTGAACATGGGTATTTGATTGTATCGGAGGGTTTTCCCTTCGCGTTTGGGTACTTGAATGAAATGACTAGAGGCCTTAGCGCAGGCTTCTGCCAGCCACTGCCAGGGTCTTCATGCGTTCACCCCGGCGTTTGCACGCTTGTATGGGCACAGGCATTGGGGATTTTCACGGCGTGTCTAGGCAACGCCAATGACTTGAGCTGCAGTGGCAAATTCTCCGTGAAAAGACGGCTCCAGTGAAACGATGCCTTCATGCTATGGCCTGTCTGAAACATTTTCTGCGTGGTTGACAACCTACACGCAAGCAGGGAAATAAGTTGTACAATGAATTGCTCTGCTTGCGTGTAGGTTTCGTACCGCATATCAGGTATAATAAACGCTTAACATATCTCTATATTATCAGTCCGTGTATCAGAATTTTGTTTGAGTACTGCTGCCTCTAGGGTTCCCGTGCACCAGGAGTTGCATCAAGCCGCATTGCAACTCATAGCAACCCGGCTTCTTCCCGCAACACATCCAGGCAGTTGTGCCGCTGTGGCTTGGTTGCCTCGAGAGTGTAGGGGTGGTCAGCTGTTTTGAAAGGAACTCCTTATTTTTTTAACTGTATTGCAGCTGACGTCGGCCTTCGGCAAATATCGAGGATCCGTTGCGCTT